GTCAGCGGCTTCTCCCCCGCGGCGGGCAGGCGGGAGGGCGCCGGGAGAAGCGCCGGGAGGGCAGCAGGGCCGCTCCGCCGGCAGCGGGTGCGGGCGCGGCGGGAGCCCGGCTTTCCTCGCCGCCGCTCGCACCTCCCGTCTCCTCGTTCGCGCGGAGGCGAGGCAGGTGTACAACGCTGCCCGGCGGGCAGAGGGGGAGCCCAGGTCCCCGCCCCGGGTGGCGGGGGCGCCCGGGTTCCCCCGTCAGCGGTAGAGCGAGCATCGCCCGGGCATCTCTGCCGGCTTCCAGCCCTCCGCCTGGGGCCCCAGCTGGGCGGTGGGGCAGGGGGATGCGCTGCCCTCGGCAGGCAGCGTGCGGTCCGCGGGGGGGCGGCGGTAGGTGCGGTAGGTGACACTGGGAGTACGTGCTCGTTCTTAGAAACGGTTACGCGCCTGGGTTCGGGCCTCCCCCTGCACACCTTAAAAACCAGCGAAGTGTTTCTGGCTTATGTCTTCCAGAGTCACGAAGAAGACGACAGGAAGGTAAGGAGGAGAGAAAAAAATCGAGTTGCTGCACAGAGGAGCCGGAAGAAGCAAACTCAGAAAGCAGATAAACTTCACGAGGTGAGTGGATGCTTGATGTTCTGCCGGCACGGCTTGGGTACCGGGCATGGGACTTTACAGTAAATGGGACTTCTTAAGCAGGCGTGGGCCCCTCTTCGCGCTAATCCAGCTCAGAGAGCTGCGGGTGCGAGGCAGAGACCGGCGTGCTGCGGGGTGCCTGGTCGGGAACTCCGGGACACTGATGCTGGTGTTGGACAGTGCAGCTCTGCCATCGGTCACACTGCCAGGGAGAGAGAGAGACACGGTCCTGCCCTCGCCTCACCCTCCCTCTTTTGCTATTCCCGTGACCGGCCAGTGAACCGGACCACAGGGCTCCTCTGGGCTAAAACAAACCCATTTTCTTCTGGATTAGTGTTAATCTTGTCACGTTCGCTATGGCAGTGGATGAATGCTCGCTGCCTTACGGGGGAGCAGGTGATAGAGAAGGAGGGGGCCCTGCTGCTTAGTGGCAGTGCTGGCTTAAGTCAGTTCTAAAACTATGGTGTGAGACAGAAATACCCAGTTGAAAAGGCTTCTTAGGAACTTCAAAACCTCTGAGCGTGAGAGCTCGGTTCAGTTAGCTGTTATACTTGTATGCTCTGATAAATAACAGTGGGTGTTTCCAAAAAAACCATGAACGTAACTGATTCTTCCAGAAACTCTTAATGCTTCTTCTCAATATCACAATGTGGTGTAGTTTTTTCTGGTCCCCAGTGCAAATGCTGGAGGACAGGAATCCCCTTTCTCTGGTTTTGGATGCTACCTCACACAGCAGTGCTTTTGTTGTAGCCAGGGCTCTTGGAGTAAATGTTAGTTCTGCTGCTGTGATTGTGGCTGAGTCAGTTCTTCAGCTCTGGAGGTTCAGCGCAGGCTTTTCTCTTTCTCATGTGGAAAGATCTGCCGACAGTCAGCAGAGGCCAAGAGGGACAGTGTGGGGAGTTTTGGGTTTGGTTTTTCCCAGACTTCCTCTGAGTCAGCGCCTGAGAAAGCCAGGTGCAGGGTACTTCTGGAAAGGGGTAACCCCTGGCTTTTGTGGAATCATTTCTGGGCCCTGTGCCTTTCTGCAGCCTCTCTGATGTTCCTCCTGAACTTGAGGATCCTCCTCATGCTGGGAATCTTCATTCTCGGGCACACAGGTTTTCCCAGGTGCAGGCAGATCTGGCTGAATAGGAATTCATTTTTAGCGAGAACAATTTGATGGTCTCATCGCTGAAAATGGGACAGAGCAATGGGAGAGTAACACTTACTCCAAAACTCAAGCCCATGGGGTTTGGGGCAACGAGAGGTGAGCAGAGCCAGAGTCAGGGATGGACAACTTTGCTGGAGTTGGCTACCATAATGTGTTAGGAGGACCACGCCTGTGCTACTCTGTGTGTGAGAGAGGTAGTGGGTGGTGGAAGGGTGTGAGGGAGGGCAAAGGGGTCCAAACTCCTGCATCAAAGAGCAGCAGGGGCAGTCCCAGGCTGCCCAGAGGAGCATTGCATGAGAGGCTCTCCCTGCTGCCTGGTAAACAGGCCTTGTAAGGCATGTGTAGGCTTTGAAGTTTGCTCTGAAGCTTTCCCAGGGAGGTGAGATTGAGTGGGTGAGTGTTGAGCCCCGGGCCAGCAGCGAGGTGCAGACACCTGCAGGTTTTCTGTGGGCTGGCTCTGAACCTCTAGCTCTCTTCTCTTTGGGATGAGAAGGCTTGGCAGCAGGGACACTTGAGACGCGCAGTTACCAAAAAATGTGACATGCGAGTCTCACATCCGTCACAGATTCATGCTGCAGAGCATCTCAAAACTCCCCTGCAGTTAATAGCAGCTTATTCATTGCCAGAGAAGCCTCAGCTCAAAAGCAGCCCGGGTCAGGGATAACCAAGGCAGTGATCAGGCCATCTGGTGACAAAGTGGGTCTGGGAACAAGGTGGTATGACTCTCCCCTCCTCCTGCTCTTGAGTTCCCGGCATCTGAGCAGGTGGCTACAAGCCCCGGCCAGCCTGGAGGAGAGCAGCTGGCACCGGACACGTTGTGCTAGGTGCGCATCCCAGCCGGCACCTGCGTAAATGGCCTTTCCCTGCACTGGCCCAGGGCAGGGGCTGCCCTTTCCTCACCGGCAATGCCAGGCACTGGGTTTTCCCAGCACCTACCTGCAGTCAGTGCTTTCATTTTCTCTGCCCTGACAGTGCAGAGCTGCCCTGCTGGGCCCTTCCCTGCAGAGGCAGCCCAGGGCTGGAGGTGGCCACCACGAGGACGCAGCCACCCACGCCTGCAGCCCCGGGCTGCTGGGGACTCCCAAGGACCAGCAGCACCTCCTGGTCTTCAGGGCCACGAAAGGAATCGCAGTGTGGTCAGGGCACAGGTCGTAAAGCACTTGCCCTGTTCCAGCACCCAGGCTGTGTCTGTCTTTCCTTAGCATTTTGCACGTTGCAATAAGAAACCACGCAGTTTTTCTACAGTTACATGAATACACTCAAGGTGGAAGCACCGAAAGGAATGTTTTGACTATGAGCAGGCTTTTTTTCTTTCTCTCCTTCCAGGAATATGAGTCTCTTGAGCAAGAAAATACCTCCCTGAAAAGAGAAATCGGAAAGCTAACAGACGAAATGAAACACTTGAGTGAAGTGTTGAAGGATCATGAAAAGATCTGTCCACTATTGCACTGCACCATGAACTTTGTGACCGTACCAAGGCCTGATGCACTCGCCAGCTGCCTGCCAAGATGAGACCTCTCCTTGATTGCCTTTAAATGTGAAGTGTGAAAGTGCTGTTAACAAGGGAGATTTGAAGAACTGCCTACTTATGGTGCAGGTATTCCATCAAAGACAGCTGAACTTGACCATGCAGCTCTTCTCCACATTCAAGTGTTATAGTCTTCTGAATCTCAGGAAAACACCAGTATGGAAAAAAGACAACTTGAACTGCAACTTCTTATTTGGTAGAATCTTCGAGCCACGGTTTTGCATTCAGAAATGTCAAAGTGCGGCGCAGCCCACCATCGCGTGATGGAATGTAGACAGGGAAAAGTACCGACCCTGGGCAGGGATGCCTTTCTCCCACACGTCCACTGCCAGTAACCCTTTGTCACTTGTCATCCATGTATATCATGTTCTGGCTGCCAGTTTTCCTTTCTTCTCTAAACAGGTTTGGTTAATAAAAGCAATGTCCCATCTTTATGATGTTCTCCACCTTCTTCAATAATCATTATCTTCATAACATCTCTACATTTTCTTTACTGGTCAAATCCAAAGTCTAATGCTAATCTTACTGTCAGTTTTATTATTTGCTTATCGCCTCTTCATTGGTTCCTCTTTTGAAGTGTGTGTAACAAATGAGTTTTCCCAGTCTTTATTTCTTTAATATCCCCAATCATCAGCCCTGCCAACATTAGTTCTTGGAGTGTTTCAGATCCTAAAATATGGCTTGGCCAATTTCTAATGATGATTGTCTGCTCTGTGTGGAAGAAAAGCAAAACAGAGTTTGCTGGTTCTACACATTGTTTTAAAAAGCAGATTTTAAAATTTACAGTTTTAATGCACCCATTGGAAATTAACAAATACCTTTATCCTTCATCTTGCATATTGCTTCTGGTAAATGATGTCTGTGGATAGAACAAACTGAATTTAGCCAAGCATTTTGTTCCATGTCCAAACTGAACATGTTTGATAACTGCTTGCAGGAAAAACATTAGTCTTTTTTAACTTTTCTTTTTTTTTTTTTTTTTTTACAAAAAGGAAGAATTATGACAATGTTAGTGAGAAATATACAGAAAAATGTTTACTCTCTTTGAAGATTCTTAGTAGTGTCAAGCTCTGGAAGTGCGAATGCTGTAGCCTGGGATCCAGCAAAGAGTGTTTTTCTCGCAGTATTTCCTGGTCGGAGAGCACCTTTGGATAACAAAAAGCTCCACCCCTTTGCCAATTCTCTCACTTCAGCTTTTGGATTTTTTTCACTTCAATTCATGGGATTAATTTCTCTCCTCGCCAGAACTGTAGTATTTATCAGCAGAATATGATCTGAAATGCCTAAAAGACTTTTTTCTTTTTTAGCTTCTTTAGGGGAATGATGCATTGCTCATGACTGCTGAGATAGAATTGGGGGAACTGTGTAGTCAACTCTGCCTTCTAAAGTGCTCTCTCATGCCATTGTCTTAGGCTAGAAACTCAAGATAACAGGTGTGGGATGTTGGCTTCTTTAAAATTTTTCATTAGGTTGTCCCCAAGAGAATTTTCAGCATTTGCAGAAGCTAGCTACAGCGTAAATGCAGTCTTCAAAGTTTCTTATGGACCTGTAAGAACTGAGTCATTCTGCAAAGAAAAACTGGTGCAGTCTCTGCCAAGGAAAATGAGAGTTTCAGGACACTTCACATTACACTTTTTGGATAAAGTCCTTGATATGATTCTGTGTGTCACCCTTAAGAAAGGAAGCTATCTTAAGCATCTTCATCCACCCACCCGCATTCCTTCCATCTCTGGATGCCACTGTGTAATTTGGGCTGAGTAGAGGTGTAATGGAGAAGGAGGAACATAGTGGAAATGAACAACATTCACTCTGGGGAAATTCATTATAGCTTAGGATGGAGGGAGAGTGAGAGAGGATGTCTCACATCTCTTAACTAGGTATGTGCAGCTGAGCTGAGGCTGGGAATGGAAAGTATCTAGTTGAGGTCAGGGCTCATGCAAAAATGGAAGGAAAAGCCAAGCACCTTGTCCAAGACAATCCATCCCAGCATAATCCTCCTCAGGATTTTGTCCCACAGGTGCTTTCTTCTAAAAGAAGAGGTCTAGCTCCCTGTGTAAAATCCTCCTTCTTAAACATCCGTTCTTCTAAACATCTGTCTAGAAACTGGCTCCAGCTTATCGTTTGGTAGTCCAAGATCAGATTGTACACTCTTCATCAGTAAGCACTATGCTTGTTCTGCAGTGCAAGCTTTAGTCCACTGTTTCTGCATTGGAGTTTATTGGTTTATTAACTGTATAATGTCTATGTAAAGTGTACAGGGGAAGACAGCTGAACTTACAGCAATGTTGTGTGCTGGCAACAGCAACCCAAGTCCAAGGTTATGCTGCTATTCCTTAGAAGGGCTGGCAGCCTTGCAGAGGCACTCAGTGCTACCAGTTCCTTCCCACAACCACGGGGTGTAGCTCCAGCCTGTGCATCATGTCCATTAGTAACAGCGGGCTTTGAACCCTCCAGGGCCCGGGCTGCTTCTTCCTCCTGCATCTGTCGCATCACTGTTTTTCCCAGCACTATTTCCAAAGAGCCTTATGAGTCCTTCTGCTTAATAGGTTAACCAAGGCATTTCTCACAAACAGTATATTGTGTGACTAATGTTCAAAGGCAGCTGGGAACCCCAAGTAAAAGTGGTGAGCAAAATGAGTGTCCCAAGCCAAATAAACCTAACATTCTCATAAATTTATAGAATTAATGTCTTAGCTGAATCCTGGGTCAAAAAGAACAATGCACGTTAAAGCACAGGCTTGCGTATCCCTAGGCAAATGCTACGCATACAGGCTGATTACACTCTTGGCAGGAGCTGTTCATAAGGATATTGATTTACAGAGTTTCAAAACCGAAAGTATGCTCTGGAGCCTGGGATAAGTGTTACATGAATAGGGAACCTGAAAAGAGAACAGAAAGGAAAAGGCCCATTTGTTAAGGGAGCAACAGAAAGTTCTTTTTTCAAATCCAAACCTCTCCTTTTGCAGCAGGGTATTACACTGTCAAAAAAAAAAAAAAAGTTTCATACCTATATATGGCTAAAATACTGCTTGACGTATTCTAGCTTCAGAAAACTTCCAGTTAGTTTGACTTGTTCCATACAAATGTGGTCTGTATAACAGTCACATGATTTTCAGACGCAGGTATATAGGGAAGATCTCTTCTATGTTCAGATGGTGGTTCACGTGAGGAGTACTGCGAATTGCAGTCTTGTTTGTGGGTGTGTAATGTAGATGAGGGTTGCCAAGAAAGCTGGATTTTGCCTCTTAGATTCACAATGAAGGTTACAGTTTGTCTAGATTTGGTTAGCGTGGATTTCCTTTTTGTATTTTCTGTGACTCTAACGAAGAAGCAAAATGCTCAGTGCAAACTTACCCACAGATAAAAAGTATTCATTCTGGGAACAGACTGGGTTCAATTCAGCTATTTGTCTATTCATTTCTTTCAGTTGTTGTTGGGTCAGATTTAAATTGATCATATTTTGAAAAGACAATTTTAGCCTCCAAAGGTAAAAAAATCAACAGAAAGACAAAGTCAAGCTTCCCAAAACTGCTAGTGTGAGTATAACAGAGATCAACTGTTATACCTCAAGAGAGCTGATTAGAAAGTCTTGCTCCTTCCCACTGATGTTTTACATTCATGTCTGTGAACATTTATAAGCGTCTTTATGCACTCATCCAGAGCCTTGCTGAAAATACACCTTTAAAAAAACATATTTAAAACAGCCTATTCTACAAGCTTGCTGTTCTTTTCCCTGGTACCTTTTACGTTCGTCTACTGCTCCTTCTGTAATACCTGCTGATCTCATCTGTATTTGGTATTTGCAGTAGCCTTTGTATTCTCTCACCATTTTATTTCAACTGCCACTTTTTTTCCTTCTTCTTGTTTCCTTCTGTTTCTATGTAGCTTGGTGACAACATCCCTTAATGTTATCTGTATTGGAGGAACAAGGCTAATCTGTAGGAGCATACAGAAATTGAACTTCACTAGTACACCCTGTATATGTACATGATTAAAGGCTTTTATGTGTGGCTAGTTTTGTAAGTTGAAGATTAAGGAACGTTTCTGTGCAGTCTTTTAAAAGGTACTTAAAAGTGACATAACCTTTACTCTAGCCTATAAAACCCATACTGTTTCCTGTCCATAGATGAACGCTTTGCTGCATGGCATTTGGGGTTTCCATCTGTGAATCAGTCTAGAATTTCTGCCTCAGTGAAAGTGATAGATAAAACAACCATTTAAAAAAAAATCCCTTTTCTCTTCTTCCCATCAGTACAGTGATATAATTCCTGTCACAGGAAGGAAGCATGTCTGATAAGCAGGAGAAGTAGTGGGTTTATTTACTGTTACAAAGACTACTGTTATTCTCTTTGTAGGAGGGTAGGAGTTTTCTGTTTGTAAACCCTGGGTTACTGTCAAGTGGTCACTGGAGAAACATTTTACATGTACATAGAGCACGTGGTGTGGGCACACATCCATAAGGGAGTGAAAGAATTTGGATTAATCCTTTGCAGAAACATGGGTTTTACACTGATTTCACTGGAAGTAGAAACAGTCTTAGAGCTGCCCCAGAGGACATGTGGCACTATGCTTACTAACTTGCGTAATATTTAACTCAAGAATAGCTACAGCCTAGCTTGAAGTAGGTAATTCTTAATAAGGAAACCATCCCTGGGATTGCGTGCTCCTTTTCTGGTACTCATTCAGGTTTTTTTCCTAGATAGTTCCTATGGAAAAAATCCATAAGAATAGAGTAGGAATTTTTTCTCCCACTGTAGAATTTTTAAACCATGACATCAAATGTAAGGGTTTGACTATTCTGGAAATAGTTGGCATAGCTTTTGCAAATACTCTGTTCTCTACTAGTTATGTGTTTGGTCTGCTGTAAGGGAATCATTATAGTTCTCTTTAGAAGTGGATAAGCTAAACCACAAAGGGCTGTCTTGGTACAGAATGAAAACATTCATTTGAGGAGTTAGTACCGCATGACTACTGTGCTTCAATTTCACAGCTTATCTCATCCTGAAGCAGCTTCTTCATGTAGCCAAATAGAAAATGATATCTCTAATAGGTGTGTTTGTTTTAAATCTGCATTAGAAGAGGTTTTATTGTATGTGTTTCATAAGTTCTATAGACTGCCAGTATAGCTTGCTGCACTCACCCAGGTACTGTTCAATTAAGTCTACCACAGACTGTTCCCCTCAGAACTCAGTTCTGGATAGACGTCTCCAATTATCTGGAAGAACTTTCTCCTTTAGCTGTCTCATAATGAACTTGTTGTCATGTTTTCATTATTCTAAATTATTAAAATGTCAAAACTCTTGAGATTCCAAGCAAGGGTCATAAGTAATCTTTCTTCGTATAAGCAAACTATTAAGGTTTGCCTTCCCATTGTAA